TTTATGTATATGCTTCCATTCAGGCTATTTCTGGGTACTTCTGCCTTCAGAAGGGATTGAATACAAGGGGCGGGGCAGGACGGGAGGGGAGGGAAGGGGTTAACATTGGGTTAATGTATTTGTTTTGTTTGTTACAGAGGCTATACTGGCTGCAATAAATGATGAAGGATGTCTTGAGGGTTGTACGGTGGCTGATTTGGGATGTGGTTGCGGCATATTGCTCCTGGGAGCGGTTAAATTGGGTGCGAGGTAAACTTCTTCCACTGATCAGCTTTTTATTCATCAAATTTTACTTGAATTTACTCATCAGTGACAGTTGAACTGGTGATGTTCAACACACATTAAACTTCCTTTTCCTTCTCATCTCTGAACACCACGGCCGTCATACTGACCACGAGATCCAGTTGTGGTATTGAGCTAAGACACATATGACTTAATGGACCGAAACATCTTAACTCTTTCATACTTATTTTTCTTCCCGCATCAGCTATATTTCTACAACCATCCATACATAGTTCGCCTCATATTTAAGTTCTTAACATTACTTGCATGCTACAATCATGCTATGGTCAGCTTAGTATTAATCAGCTCGGCGTTTTAAAAGGCTCCTTTTCGGTAAGGTATCTCTTCGCGACTAATGATACTTAACACATGTCAGTGACATTCTGAATTAGCTTAACCTTGCCAATTATTCCGTGCAGTGGAAAACCCGCGAAAAGCCAGCCAAGAAGCCGCCACAAAGAAAAAGAAAAGAAAGGCGTACCTTAGCTTGTGAGGCAGGTAGACAGTGGATGTGCTGCCAGGCTGAACCTGAATCACAAGGACCTGTGTTGTAGTGGCAACGCATTGCATCCGGGCACGAAGAGGGGTAGTTCGTTTCCCTCCCAGTTCGGACTGGTTTTTGAGAAAGGGATCCGTTCACGGCATTCGTTTTGAGGGGACCAGTGGTGAACTGGTCATTCTTAAAAGAAGCGAGGCGAAAGTCTGGGTGGACAATAGGTTGGTCGTCTAACAATGTAGCACAGGTTAAAGCAGTTAGAAAAATTGCTCGCTACATAGTTGGAGAAACAAATTACAGCTGTACAGCTGATTCAGCCTGAATATTTTTGAGATGTCCGCCTGCCGAAGACATGCTAGCTAGGAAATTTTAGCT